GACTATCAATACACCATAGAAACACAAGACAAGCAACAGGGGCAGGTAAAGGGTAAGAGAGAGCCGGTGTAGACAGCGCATCCGGTCCTGCAGCATGTCTGCGCTGGTCCAGTTGACTGCCATCTTCCCTGGTAGGGCACAAGCATCGAAGGCGTTTGGAAAGGGAGGGGGGGGATCAGTGTATGTGTGTGTCCGGAGTTCAGCTGAGACAGTGTCCTTCGCCCCGCCAGGCTAAGTAAACAGTCTTCCAGCCAACCCAGGTGGCCTTGCATGGAATGGGGGGAACAGTCTAAACACAGTAGTTACGAGGGTGTTTTGTTCAGCTCCAGCCTTGAGGCCGCAGCTGGCGTCGAAGGGGTCTCCGCATGAAGTGATGATAGTTTTTACTTTAGTGCGAACAACTCATAAATTTCAAAGCTGTTCTAACAGTCCAACACTGGTCTCTCAATCTCCCCTTGGAGAGCCGTGAGCTTTCTATGATGTTATCCAAACTTACGTTCCAAGCTCCAAAGAGCTGGCGAATGGAAGTAGAGCACAAGACCAACAGACGGTCTAACTGACAATCATTCACAAATTACTTTTTATTATAGTATACTGAAACTATGAAATCAAATTCAGTCTACTTCAATCACAAGACTAACCTCACGGAGTACATCCACTGACTGGAGCACTTCAGAAAAACTAAGTGCTAACATTAAAACCATTAATCCATTTACAGAGAGGAAATTGCAATAAACCACACCCAAACAGCCTCAAACGTACACTTTTACATCTGATGCAATAATAACTCAAATGTGTGATGAAAAGTAAACTCTCCTATGAGAATCAAGTACAAATCTTTTTTCTATGTTGGTCAGATCTTTTTTGATCCTTTTGCATTTCTTCCTCTTTACTGTAATGTAAAACATGTTTACAGATTATTTAAATGATAGAGTGAAAAATATTGCCGTATAATAACAAAAGCTCCCAGTGAAACTTCTGAAATACACTGAGGACTCATGTAACCTCTAGATTGCATAAGTCATTCAGCCTTAGAAGTGAGGAAGTAGGGGGTGAAAAAAAATGTCTCAAACAAGTACACAAAAACTGTGGAGTACATTTGCAAATGTAAAGAAATTAGCATACATATAACAGAGATACAGAGATGTAATTTGATGCTCTATGTATATGAGTTTATGTGACAACGAATTTAACGTCATGTTACGCTGTTACTTGGAAGTAATGGAACAAATTACTTAATGACCCATCAGAGAAAGTAACACTGCATTATTTTTAAGAAAAGTAATGAATAATATGCAATTTATTATTTTATTTAATTTCTTGCCCCACTCTTTTTTTTTTTTGTAACACCCCTAACACTGATGAGGTAAGTTTCTAAAGACTAAAGGTAGCTCCAAACAAATGTTTCATTGAATTTGTTGCACTTGAGATCTAAGCTCAATCATATGTGTAATCATGTGCGCTAGTCTATCCTGTCTGTTTGTCTTTCAAATATAAGGGAGGAGCTTGTTCTCTTTATTCTACTCCTGCTTGAAGTCAAGTAAACCCCAAGGGCATAAGATACTGTCTCATTCTGGGCAGGATGCTGAACGTATAGTTTCACACACTCTCTCACACACACACACACACACACACACACACGCAACACTACTGAACAGTGTGAGTCAGCGCATACCAGTGATACCTGCTAGGAAGAAGAACCTGCTAGGAGGAGTTTTACCTTCACAGTGTATGCAGAAACAAAGCCTGCTCAGCATCTTGCCTGGAAACTCCCTTGAATTGTCCACCCATTAACACAAACAATGGCACTCCTGAGTTTAGATAAAACATGTGCACAAAAGCATGTTTTGTGATCAGCATTGTTTGCACTTGAGTTGTTATTTGACAGGTTCAGGTGACTGGGTTTAAACTTTCTCTGCGTTCTGGCATTTAGGTAAAAAGGTATGTGGAGCCACATTTCCAATGGATTTTAGAGACAACCAGTCAATTTCACATTACCAGAATATACTTTAATTGCATTTTATAGGGCACCTACAGTTATAAATTACCAAAGGAAAAATATACCAGTCTTTTTTTGCTTCAGAGAAACTTCTGAAAGATCTTTAATTTACTTTTAAGGAAATCGTGCAGTTTCGTGTACATGATGCAACTGTACGAACGACAGAATATCACAATATAATGTGATACACAAACAACATCATCTATTTTTAACAATTAATTAGAAATTTAAAGAAAGAGACACAAAGCTGCACTAAAGATTTCATGGGTCTTCACCCATGCTCCACTTAAATAAATTGATTCAAATTTAGCTTAGCAGAAGCAACCTAGTATTTGCTAACAGACAAATCACACTGAAAACATACCTACACCAAGACTCCTCCCTGCTTTCCAAATACGACTACTGATTTTGCATTTGCTGACCGTCCCATTGCTGCAACAGTTAGGTTTCAACACTGCTGAAACCTAACTTTTGGGACATGGCTTGCAACATCTTCTTCCTGTTCACTTAAATTTAGCCACAGAACTCAACTACAAGAGCATTAGGCAGGCTAATCTCCACCAGAGCCATTGCCCTATTTTGCTCATTTAAAAAGATCCACCAAAATTCAATGGGTCTTTCCTCTGCCCACGTACCACCACTCCATCAAGCTTCATGAAGGTCAGGCTAATAATCGTTTGTGCAATCCTGCTGAAAGACAAATTGTACTCATACAAACTTTTTCTAATGTGAGGCAGAAAAAAAATACAAAAGCAAAACATAAACAAAACACAGATATTCCACAACTGAACGCTCATAAGCATTTATTCCATGAACACCTTAATTAGGCAATTGCTGTTTCAACAAGGACAACTGCTCATCTAGCTCTCAAGTGGAACTACATTACTCTAAGGTAACTACCTTACCTGTGCTAGTAAACTTACTTACTAGCACAGTGTAAAGCTCCCCTTTCAAATGGAATCTATTGCCATAGACACCATGGTGAGGGTAATTAAGGTACCTTAGGGAGGAAAACCCATAACTAAATGACAACAACTGCAATTCCAGAGAGGACAGACTAGTATGTCATGTAAAGATAAAAACAAAATGTGTCTACCTTCATACTCCTGTGGATAAAGCAACAATTTTTTTTAAAAAGGGAAGTTCACTTTAATCCTAACCATACAAAAGATGATTAGCAACAATAAAACAGCTACTACGTGAAGTACATAACACAGAGCATCCTTTCAGTGCAATGTTCTGCTGGGAAAGTCCCCATGCCAGCTTTTATACTTTGACAAATAAAACCCATAATTAAACTGACCCCCATGGAGCAGCACTCACTCTCCAGGCAGGACAATGCATGCTGTAACACCACAAAACCTGTCAAGGAATGGTTCAAGGTACATGAAAAATATTCTAAAGTGTTGGCTGGGCCTCCAAAGTCCCAAGATCAACACATAGCAACTATGGGAGTCCAAAAAGCATAATCCACAGGATCAAAAAGATCCACCCCCACTGTACCATCATGCAAAAAAACAAAAAAACAAAAAAACAAAAAAACACCACCACCACCAAAAACAAAACCTCTCATTTTTTTAACAAACTCTTAAAAAGTTTAAGACATGACATGACATACTGACATGACATGCTGGTCAGTCACAGGAGCTCGTTCAGTGAGAGACTGAGATTACCGAAAAGCACCACTGAACGACACAGGAAATCTTTCCTGCCTGTGGCCATCTCCCTGTACAACGCATCCACTTAACACACCGTTTACTGCTACAACTACACATGTTTCTTTTCCAGCTATTTATTTATGAGTGACTTATGTATGTATGTATGTATGTACATATATGTATATATTGTACTATTCTTAGTTAGCGTATTGTCTGTCTTGTCTTAATGTTGATTTATAATGGAGCACTGTAACAAAAAATTATTTCCCCCAGGGATCAATAAAGTATTCTGATTCTGATTCTGAAAAAGGGGAACTTTTTGTTCATCATCTGCTTAGATGATGTTATTTTGGTTCAACGTTTTCAGTTCAACTTTATCAAATTGTGGTAGTCAAAACATTTGTGAATTGCCTCACAGTTATCACAGTTATTACTATCTACAAAAGATCGATATCAAATGAACAAACAATGCTAAGCAGATTGACCGTCAGTAACACAGTATCACTTCCTTACATTAAGTTCCTTAGTGACAGTGGAAACATGCAGTAGTACTACTATGAATGCCACTGAGCAATATGTCTGTCAGGGAGAGTAGACAAACAGATGACTGTGTCAGAGCAAACCTTGTGTCAATGACCTAAAGTACACCAGCTTTAAACGACAAACCTTTGTTTAATCTCTTGCGAGTCAGATGCGGATGTAATCGGGAAGAAGTCAGCCTGGCGGGGAGACATTACCAATGTTTGCTGAGGCAGTGAAACGTGATAGGAAATGACTTTAATCTGCACCTTTACATAAACTGCTGCAGGTGAAGAAAATGTGACGGTTTTAATCTGAATAGATGTTTTCCTCTGAAGGACTCCCTCACACTCAACCATCAAGAGCTTTTTACCAGCAGCTTTTTACCAGCACACGGAACTTAATCGTTCTGCTTGCACTGACAATACATTAAAAATACCCAAATAATAATTATATTCTAAATCAATTACCAATCAAACCTTCACTGACAACTTGAAAAACACCCAGCTCTGACAACCCATCTAATAAATGCTACTGTAAACTCTATGCTTGCTAACATAATAGCATACACTTTAACTTGCCAAATTTAACATGTGTTAATGTTTTTAAATCATTGTTCCCACACAACAAACTGACAGTGCCGAGGCTGGCCGGAGCTTTTTGACAGCTAGCGCTTTACCATTAGCGGGCGGGCTAAAGAAAAATAAGGTGGCTAACTAGCATGGTTAGCCACCTTTTTGAATAGAGAGGCCAAAGCAAAATTTAGGGCACTGAAAAGAAAACATAAGACCATAGAAAGACCAACGGAATATCTGTCATCGTACCTGAGTGGCGTGAGCAGGCTGAATGTATCTGCAAGTCCAGAAAGATGAACAAGAATTTACTGTGTAGCCTCAGCTTGACACAGCAGCGGAAGTAGCTGGCAAATGGGGGCGTCGTTAGATAGACGACAGACACAGTCTGCAGCCAATGAGATGTAATCCAGGAAACGTTTAACCAATGACAATGCGCACTAAAGAGCAGATTTTTAAAAAACATTCACCCTTTTCCTTTTTTTAAAAAAAATAAAGCTGAGCATCTGCAGCTTATTCTCCATTATTATAAATTACAGAACATAAGTCTAAATCGAGAATATGTCTAAATCAACACACACACACAGACACACATATGTTCCGTTCCAAACAGTGTGTGTCTGTGTGTGTGCGTGCGTGTATGTGTAAAAACCACACCTCAGAAGTCTGAGATATAAGAAATATATCAGATATATATAAGAAATACTGTCTAACATCTCTAGTATCATTACCATGAATAACACATTGAGAATAGCTGGAATTAAAAGGCCCCTTCATGGTGGTTCGTGGATGTTTTGTGATAAGAGACAGTGTTGATGCTCAAAATGAGGACATATTCAACTTGCATTCTGATACCCTAATCAGCCAGCGATTTTTAATGTTTTGATTATAATTCTATTTCTGAAAACATCTGAGGTTTCTCTACCAAAGGTCAGGTTTGCACAGCTGCTTACTAACACTGTGTTCCACAGCTGCTTTAGCAGTACAGGGTTTTCAATATCTGATGTTCATTTCACGTCTATATGGCTTCAACTTAGTCAGAGATTGTATCATCTGTCATCAGTAATACAGCTTATCTATTTGATATAGCAGGCAGCCTGCTTAGAGGAGAACTGGGGCATGAGCAATAACGAGGCACATGATAAAACATTTACAATTTAGTACCCATGTTGGCTTGTATTTGAATGTCTGATAAAGCTTTTACAATATCCTCTCATAACATTTACTGAAGGCTCACAGGTCATAGGCCCACACTGTTTCACAGATGACACAAAACCAGGCCAGGCACTAATGATGCACTGTTGCATCAAGAGTATTTCTAAAAGAACTCTGTAGTGCCATTATATCTTAATGTTGGATGGAGAAAAGTTTAATTGTCAGTAGTAATTTGTTCTTTCAGAACAAACAATCAGTGTGTTTCTTTTCCCAGAGTTGCATAATGATGGTGTGATGAGAAAAAAAGAGGGGGGAGGGGGGCAGAGAATAGGATGAGAGACGGCAGGAGATGAGGAGGAGGGGAAGAGGCAGAGAGAACAGTGGACTAGAAGGAGAAAATGGTTTCTATTCAGGCACACAGCGGGACAAAGAGTTCAGCTTGTGCACAACCGCATGCAGATACAGCTGCTCACCCCTCTATGTATAATTCACAAAAAAAAACCCATTATCAAAGCATTATGTTGAGCCTAAAGAAGCTACATGACTGTAATTTTAATACTTAAGATATCTGAAAAGAACAAACCAGAAAAAGAATGCTTTAATTTGCATCACACAGAAAAAGCAGCTGGTTTTAACATTTGACTTTATCTGCTTCACAACATTAATGATTTGAATAGTTTGCTTCCTGTTTGCTGCGATGAATTGCCTCTAAATTCACCTGTGGTCAAGCAAACGCTTTGATCTTTATCATACAATTAGTCAAACAGTTTTGTTTTTCTTCCTGGTGTACTCGCCAAGTTTCCCTACTCACCACTAGATGGAGGTAAAAGATAAAGTTTTTCCCTGAGTTGTTCACTCGTCAGTAGCCAACAGAAACCAAACCTTTGAAACTAATTGTACAGAGTACTGTGAAAAGGTCTTAAGCCCTTACTACATATTTTGCTTTCAAGAAGCCAGACTTTAGATTATTTTTTCAAGTGGCCCTTAGCAGTCGTTCTCCAGGCTTTCTGAAAGTCCTTCAAAGATTTTCTTTGGACATTGGCTGCTTTTTCACACATTTTCAGTTCAGTCCTAGTGCCTGATCCTTTTCAGAGGATTTTTCTTTATTTTCACCCACTTAATACTGACCAATTCAGCAATAAAAAGCGCCTCCAAGGATGGATCAGACCAACAAAGACCTGAGACAAAATTTGTGAGGTCCCTCTGGCCTTTCAGCTGATTTATCTATTATTTACCAAACCCTCATCAGAAACTGTCTCAGTGCGAGAGTAGACATCAACATTGTTGAAGCACTGTGGGACTGACAGAGAAAGAAACGACAGGCAGAACTTGGAACGCCCTTCAAGCCTGGAGAACTGTTCCTGAAGGCTACTTCAGGAAATTATGAGAAAGCTTGTTCGAGAGAGAGAATTAAGGTGGTCATACCAAATATAGACTGGTTAGAAATGCACAAACTCCTTTTGTTCGCATGTATAGTGTTTTTCTGTGTATTGTTATACCTGTTTCAATCCTTTTCCCAATAGAAATAGAAAGAAATAGAAATAAAAAAGACATTTACTCAGTACTGTGTATGTTCTCCTTGTGCTGATTTGCAGAAAAATATCATTCATGAAATAACATCCCTTTATGATTATGGAAACTGAGTGTTTTGGACAAAGTGATTCCAGCAATAAGGGAATTTTGATCCTCTTCTAACTACAAGATAAATGGTCTTTGAATGAGGTCTGGAACCCAAACTATTGAATACTAATTCAAGAAGGAGGCCTTTGGCTGTTGCTCTTCGTATGGTTTTGAACAATGTACAGGACTATTTATGTGGCACACTTATGAGAAGCTCCAGGCAGATCCAACAGTGTCAACAGAAGGTCTGGAAGTTGATATCATCATATATAGGCCACCTACTGTACCCTGCAGGGAGGTAAGTTGAGCACAAACGTGTTATTCCAGCTAAAGCAGGTCACATGAGACTCATTTTACTTGCAGGAGACAAATTTCCACAACAATTCTCAAAGGGGGATTTACCACAATTGGTGAAGGCTGACAACGTCGTTGCAGAAGCAGTAGCTTCTGTAAGGAAGGGAAAACCCAGGTTGGTTTGGTCCCCTACGGCAGCACTGTGATAAAGCAAGCGTAACTGATTATAAATACACAGTGATCACTACACAGAGAGTGCACCTACATTTAATGCATGAAATAAAGAAATTCATGATATAAGAAAATCATGGTTGAGAATATCTGTCCTGTACTAATGTCAGCAGGCAGAATGTAGCAGTGACATTGCTGATGCAGCTCTAGTTCACACACACTCACTGCTTTCCAATTACTGAACTGAAGATAACGTGCAAGGACAGCAATTTTCTGCCGATGCCTTTTTTTTGTCTCAGCAAAGCAGACCGGCACTCAGACTGGACGTCAGTGTGAGGCACATCGGGGTGTTTTTCACTCACAATTAGTAAAATATGCTCATTGTTAAGGAGCACTTGCTGGTTGGTCTGCGTGGGTTACCTCCTACCAGAATCACATAACGGATTGGATGGCAGAGGGGTGATGTGAAGTCTTGCGACACAACTGTCAAGCCATTCACCTCATTTATGCTCTCCTTTCTAATGGCTGAAAGCGAATAATGAAGCAAAACTTAGATATCATTCCTAAAAAAACACTTCTGGTGCCAACCTACATGCCATACATGAGAAAGAACTGAATATTAGCTCATCAACTAACACCAATGATGCTCTTGGATTCACACATATTCATGTGACGTTTAATTCTTGGCAATATCCGTGCAAGATTGCAGGGTATTCTTTCATTGTTCCCTTAAAACATAGTAATATATTCCTTTATATTATCGCATTTTGATTTTATTATGCAAACTCAGCAGATTTGTAAAAGAATCTTGTACCCCACTGTGTTCTTCCTGAATGTAAATGTGTTTGGCTAATGATGTAACATAACTGTCACCAATAAAATTCTGTGTTCCCACAAAATGCTGTGGCCCAAGTAGCCCAGGAGCACAGTGAGTTGCTTTGACCTTGAAACCACACTCCAGGAGCACTGAAGAGTAAAAACTGTCACAAAGCTTGAAAAATCTGCTAGAGAAAAATCGCAATACTTCAACAAACTAAAGGCAGAAAAGACTTTAAACGGTGCAGCTTCAATTATTTGTCTTTATGCTATGTAAAAGACATCTCTGCAACATTCAAAGTGCTAGTCACAAAATATTTTACTGGTAAGCAAATGACAGAACAGCTTGTTGAAACTGCCGTATTGAACTGCTGTGAGTAAATGGTGCAGTAAAATGAGGTATCGAAAACATTTGGGAAATAATGTGTCAAGATGTTCTTGTAACAAAGAGCCTGCTGAAAACAATAAAAGCCAATTGCATTATTACAGTGGGGTTTTAATACTGCAGAAATCTGCATTTCTCTTCATTATCTGGCTAAACACTGGTTATTAGAAGAAGGGGCCGAGGAAGGGGGCGACTTGATGGGCTCTGTGAGGGCCAACATGGGTGCTGTTTGTGGTCTGCTTAATATTCAATGAACGTGGTATACCACCAACAATGGAGGGTCGGTTCATTAATGATTCAAAGAACCATTCAACTGCTCCAAATTGCAATTTTGATGTTAAACCGGATCCTTAATAAGGGTATATAATTGCAATGCACAGAAAATTGCCTGGTATGAAATGGACTTTAATATTACATGTCACATATTTTCATAATAAAATTCACGATGGCTAAATTTGGTTTAGCTGGCTCAGTTTAAGGGCTCTGGTAAAGAACCATTCATAGCAAACCTTCTCACATGCCTGATCTGGAAAAGGATAGGTCTGGTAGTGTGTGTGTGTGTGTGTGTGTGTAGACAGCAAACTAATTGACAGATGCATTGTGTCAGGCATACAGCGTTGTACTTGTATTGTATATGAGATCATTGTGACACTAAATGAAAGATCGTCATATGTTTGTTGTAAAAAAGAAATGCATCTAATCGAGAGAATGTTTTAAATAGGTTTCATATTGTTGTTATCTTGTTTCTTTCCTTTCTTTCCTTTAATGCTCTTGACTCCTCTCTTATCTTTTCCGTCAGCTTGACTCAGCAGAACGCGCTGCTAACCATGTTCTTATTCTTGCCTTATTATTGCCAAAACAAACCGGAAATAAAACAACATTGTTTCCACTGTTTTCCAACTGATTATAGGCAAAATTTCTACAATGAATGAGTGCTCTAAATGGATTAACTGGGAGTGTAAAATATTGTTTAATATTTCTATTTCTGTTCATTATTAGACCTTTAAAGCAGATATTTGGTGTTTTTGTGGTGTGAGAGAAGATAATAGAGTATACTAGGTTGTAATTCTGCGGCTGCCACTGCAGGATCATTAGCAATGAATGATTTAAAGACTGCATGATTTCAGATGCAGTCTGCTAGTGGCAGTATCTTCATACTGATTAAAGACCGCTGCCAGAGAAAGTGATAAACAAGCGAACATAGCAGAATGCTCAAGCAGGATTTAGGATAGAGGTAGTGGATTGATCAGCTGAACCAAAAGTGATTTTTCTAGCACCTTTTACGCTACCCATCATATGTAAATGACAGTGCTTTCATTTAATCGGTTATATTATTTCATTCAGAGAGGTTTGGTGTGGTCTCACTCACTGGATGCTCCTTTAAGGTGTGAGGTTTCATTGGAATGTGTTTCAAATATCCTCTCGGGGGTGCAAAAACAGTAAAAATGTTGCATGCGTGTTTGTTTTGCACAGTGAGATTTTTAATTTCTCTGTCTGAATCCAAATGCGTCAGAAATACAAATGTGTGTAGATAACTATGTGATCGTTCACACATGACAGATCACATACAGAGTGGGAGCAGCTGCTTGTGATGGACTGAGAACGTAATTGCTCCATAATGTGTTTAAGTTTAGAAAGTCCTACAATAGTGCTATTTTTGTAGCCGCGTGTTTACATGAATTATACAGATGTAAACACAGCCCACTGCTTCAGCACATAGCAAATGGCCATTCACCAGCCCTGATCCCTGAGTGGGAAAATCTATTCTCATGGCTTCAATTCTGTGTTTGTTGTCCTCAAGTTTCTACTCATAAGACATTCACAGAGTTTGAGTCTGACAGCATGGACTGAATCAATATGGTTTGTATTGTCTCTGTGATAAGACTTTAGTCAGATGATGGTTACAAGCACCCGCAGGACGGGCAAAAAAGGAGCCTTGGAGAATAAATGTTATTAGAAATGCTGCTAAATGTCATAATGTGCTCTAACTGCTTGGAAGAGTGTTTACACACATTTGTTGAGCCCACTGAGATTGCACCATGCGATGGTTATTACTGGAAATCTCCGACTGTGTGCATACAGGGCAGGAGATCCAGCACTGCTTTGTAGCTTTATTGAAACAAAAATACAGCTTATGGCAGACGATGACACGGCCCTCCAGTCAGTTATCAAAAATAATGCACAAACACATTTAAAAAAATCAACTTTATGGTTCCTACTTATGCTGTATATGCTAATAAACACGCTGCACAAGCAAATACGGCTTATTAAAAAAATACATTTTGGTGTCCAGCTTTAGACCAAGATTTTGGTGGACTAATATCTAACACGTTACTTGAAAAACCTCCCATGGGTATCCAGTTTGGTTAAGATCTGATGATTGTGTGAGCTGTAGCACAGGCTCCACTCATTTCAAACTGTTCGCTGAGCCCCCTGATGACCTCTGAATGAGACCCTACCTATCAGGAAATGTTTCACTATGGGATAAATGTGATCACTTAATTTTCCGCCTATCTGTAAGTAGTTTATCTTGAATGGTGACGGGTCTCGTGGGTTTTTCGGCCATGCCTTAAAACCCATACAATCTCTTTAACACAACAAAACAGAGAATTGCCTGACTCAGCGCTCTGTAAAATTTAACTGCACATACTAATTACAGGATATCAATAGCCGCTTAAGGTTTAATGATTAGTTGTGATAGAATAATGGTGGGACTGTGAAAAGGGATCTCCAAAGGTTACACATTTAAAGCTGTCGGAGGCAATAAATAATGGGGAACAGTGGGACAGTATGCAGGATAATAACAGTCTACAGTCTGAGAAGTAAAAGATAAACAGGTGACAGAAAGGAGGGAAACAGAAGGGATACTATAAATTGCATGCTTTATTTAAAACAAAAGAAATATTGTTCTTTGACACTATTTTTCATGCGATGTTTGCAACAAACCTATCTACCTAAACTTTAAGAAGAATAAGAAAGATTTGCTTGAGTGTGATGTCAGAGGAATCTTTTGTTTGTTTGCTTGCTTAGAAGGAGACAGATAATCTGAGCCCTACAGTGTACTCTACATTAATGCACACATTTGGGGTCAGGTGATGCTCTCACCTCCCACAATGCAGCTGTATGCTGTTGTGACCTTTCTTCTATGATTTGCGCGCATGGTAAATATCTGTTACTTTGGAAGGAAAGGTTTCTGGTCTGGCTGCTACACACACACACACACACACACACACACACACACACACACACACACACAGCTGCTTTACTGACCTGTATGAAAATATTTTAAGCTGACTTAAGTGTGCATAAATGGGCCCTGTCCTCCGAGCCCTGGAGTCTCTACACAATAATTTTTTTATTTTTTTATTTATTGCTGTGTCTTACTGTTTTTCTGATATCTTGCATTGGTGGCGGCAGAGAGCTGCAGAAACGAGACTATCTCTCTCCTCCAGAGCTACATCCCGTTATATGAGAGGAGAGAGAGAGAGGTGACCATAGGCACCGCACTGCCGTCTGTTCTCACCCACAATTCCTCTGAGCAGGAACCGGCTAATTTGTGTCATCGAGGCAGAGAGAGGGGGATCCCGAGGACAGGAGTGGAGGATCCAGCAGAACAAAGCGGAATAATTGGTGCATTTGCGGCACACAGAACTGGAAAATTGGATTGTATTTATCTTTTCTCGATCTTTTAGACTCTACTTCCCGCTTCGTCCTGTTGCGTTGCAAGCCCTCATTGTGGCCGGAGTGATCTCCTCCTTTTGTGTGGCTCTGCAGTTGTTTATTCACACTCCCAACTTCTGCCTCCTGTTTCTGCAAATAGGAGGTTTCGTTTCTATTTTTCTCGTATCTGCCTAAACGGAATGAATGACAAAAACAAAGGAGGTTGATGTCCACAACTCTCCGACTCACCTCGTCTTCGCCTCGCCCAAGGAACGAAGACTCCATCTCCGGCAGAAGATGGAAAGCGGAGGCGGGACGGAGTGCTCGGATAGCGGCCAGGCGCAGCACGCGGTGCCCGGTCAGCAGCCCGAATCTGCGGACCTTTCTGCCGTGCTGTCCGCTCACACTCCAGGCCAGAAGAAGAAGATCAACCGGGCCCCATCTCCGGCGAGACCGAAGGATGTACCCGGGTGGTCGCTCACGAAGATCCGAGGAGGGATTGGGACCCCGACCCTGAGTGTCAAGCCAGGAGCCATTCATCTGGGTAGCCGCATATCCAGGCGCAGCCCCGTGGGAAGTCTTGCTGGGAAGGACGGCAAAGGGGAGAAGAGTGGTGGCGGAAAACCCGCCGGCAAATCCTCCCTCTCTGGTGGCATGTCCTCCAAGGGCTCGGCGTCCAAGGCCATCAAAAGCACCGTAGCGCGGAGGAAGGTGTCCGACGCCAGCATAGGATCCGATGATTTATCCAAGGATTCTGGATGCGCCCCGGGGAAGCTCTCCCCAACCGACAGCAGCTCCGAGCTGTCGGACTGCGCCTCTGAGGAAAACAAGCTGTCCACGGACGCTGTGAGCAGCGACGCCGAGTCGAGGAGTAGCAGGGGCGGCGGGCCGGAGTTAGAGAAGCCGCTCAGGGATGGCGCGTTGGCGGACAGAACCAGCCAACAAGCTGCTGCTGCTGCTGCTAAGACCACCTGCTCCTCCGGAGAGAAGGACCGGCTCTCCACCGGTATCGAGACGGGAGAAGGGAGCATATCCCCGGGCGAGGAGCGATCGGTCACCTCATTTGATAGCCGGGTGCCCGCCAGCACATCTCTGGCTTTCTCAGACCTCACAGAGGAGTTTATGGACAGCATGCACGAGGAGTTTGTCAGGGAAATAGAAGAGCTGAGATCTGAGAATGATTACCTCAAAGTAAGTTCAGCATATGTCAGCTCGTGTTTTTGAAGTTGCTTAACCTACATAGTGCTTCACAAACAGGGTTTTAGTCTTTTTTTCCCCAAGCAGTGACACCAGATTTTGCATGGGTTCCCATGAAAAACACTCCTGACGTTGGTCACATGCATACACCTGGCCTATTTAGCAATTTGACGTCATTGTCATTTTTCATTCCTTAAACAAATCATCTTTCTGTCATACTGTTTTATTCCAAAGTCTGCCTCTAAAAGTCACTCTGACCTGCTTCTCACTGTGTAGAGATTCCTTTGGATGCCTCCCAAGAGTACTCACTACAAGGATGTTGATGTTAGAGTCTGTCTGCACCCCTGGCCACGCATGAGCACAACATGCTGCTTCCTGGTGACAGAATAGGTTTCTGATAGAAAATCTGCAGTTGCAGAACGGTGAAATACTGTAAATGGTTAACAATGGTGTGCTTTGGATTGAGATTTTGCACTTGGTGTTCATCACTTGTGCTTCGCATGCTGGCACAGTGGAGGTACGGTTCATTCTGCTGCTGTATTCTGCTTTGCTCCTAAAGGCATTATTAATAGCATTGTATTAACACAGAGGTAGAGCGCTGTGTGATTGCCTAAAGATTCTCAACACCTAAAATGTGGAAGTAAATATGGAAATCCTGCAAGTTGTGAATTTTGAGTGGGGTTTTCCATAAAAGTGCAAAACTCTTATATTAAAAAAGAGAAAAAGATCCTCTACTGGCAGCATCGGTATCAAATTCCTGTTGTCTGTCAAACACTAAAGCATCACTCATGAAAACAATAACTAAACAATTGTTGCATTATCCCAAAGTACCTCAGCTCACAGGAGGATTTGATTTCATCAGGGTTTTTGATAGAATAGGCATCTCACAGCTCCCACAGTACATCTGCAGGCAGTGAAATGTATTATATACATCGAGCTGCTGGTCAAGCCTCCCTCCAGAGTGATTGATTAAGGCAAGGATCAACTAGGGAACATATCCCCTAGCACTACCTGGCAGTGACCAGACAAGCCAGTGATTGTCAGACATTGATTGCCTATGGTAATTGATTAGCAGCGCTTGTCTCTAAGCAAAAAGCACCACCCCGTCTTTCCCCAGGAGTTTCTTTAACTGTTGGGGGTGTTTTGATCTTTGGTTTAGTTTCTGGTTGCCCACTCCTGGTCCCCAAAATACTCCTTTCTTTGATCATTAACACACGTCATCCTAGTTGGTGCATATTTGGTGCAGTGTGTGGCTGCTGACGGAATATGGGGCATCATATCACATTGGACCACGGCAAAGCCCCACGGGAGGGCAGGCAGTGAAGTAAGTCTGGCTGTGTGTGTTGTTGCAGCTGCGAGGAACACCTGGTTAGTGATCAGACGATCAAAACAACATGCTGCAGAGGCATCAGGCTCTCAGACTTATCATAAATCCTTGCTGTAATGCTCAGTCTCCAGTTCCTTCTCTTTGTTTTCCACCGCTTCAAAATTCATCTTTTTTTTCCTCCTTCATGCTTTACATCTCCAGCCTGCCAGTCTTCCACCGCCATCCTATGAATATGCAGACTCTTTCTGGGTGCCGAGCTGTTTCCCATTCAGCTGGTAATCACCGTAGGAGATCAAAACAGTTGGCAGCTGTTTGAATCTCATTAGTGGCGACTTTATACCTTACTGTTTGTGTTTCTGTTGAAGCTACAAAAGAATATCTGATTAGATGTTTCACGTACCGCGCACGCAGCATTACTGACGCCTGTACTTACATTCCTGCTTTCCTACACCATGAACATACACCGTCAGGTTGTAGGTGCCATGCTGACAAACAGTTTGACAAATTGTTGAACGCAGTTTAGTCACCGCACGCCTTGTCAAGGGGGGAACTTACGCTCAGTATAGTTGAATCATCATTCAAGTCCACATGCTGTATTTCGACACAATGAACCAGGAGTAGGGACGTGCTGCTCTCCATATTATGCCTAACCTGACACAGTTTCACAAAGAAAGACGAGATTTTCTGGATTTAATTTTTAGGAATGTCCGTCCTGTGACTGCAATTTAAACAAACAGATGAGCATCTGTGCAGCTTGTGCAGATGGCTGTTTTCACTTACCGATTAGGAGTAATTTAAATTGTAAAAGACGACCTTGGCGGTAGAGTTAAATAGTTGAAAACATAGTGGTAATAAATGCAATGGTGCCTTCAATGAGTCATTTGATCATTTGTTATGATCCTGAAGGCTTAATCTGAAAATAATAATAACAATAAACATACAGGATCTATGTAAATATAGCAAATGTGATAGAAATGCACAGAATAGCAGCTTGTATGCTTCTTGATCTGCTGCCTAATTGCCTAAATGAACATAAAAACCATACAGATCCACTATGTTTATGTTTTGTGTTTATATTTAATTTATGTTTAACTCCTCAGACACAAGGTGTTGTATAATCAGGCCCATCGTATCACCCAAAAGAACACTTTGCTCTGAGACTGGTTCCTCTGGGATTTAAAAGTAGAATGGGAGGCCTTCAGTTTTCAGGCCCCTCTTCTGTGAAACCAGCTTCCAGTTTGGGTTTGGGAGACAGACACTATCTCTACTTTGAATCTAAAAACTTCCCTTTTTGATAAAGCTTATAGTTTTGGCTCTGTCAGGTGACCCTGAATCCTCCCTTTTTAAGGCTGCACTTGTCCTAGACTGCTGGGGACTTCCCGTTATTAACCAAGTGTTTCATCGTCACTCCTCTTTTTTCTTTTCACTCACTCTGTTTTTACACCGCTCCACATTTAATCATTAGTTATCATTTATCTCTGGCTCTCTTCCGCCGTGTTTCGTTTATCCTGTCTTCGCCCTCTTACCCGGGCTGTATGTGACAGATGGCCACCCCTCCCTGATCCTAGTTCTGGGAGGTTTCTTCCTGTTAAAAGGGAGTTTTCCCTCCCCACTGTTGCCAAGTGCTTTCTCATAAGAGGTTGTTTGATTGTTTGGGTTTTCTCTGTATTATTGTAGGCTTCTTTATAGAATAGAATACACATACGAATGTAAGAATATGAGAGTCAGATGAAAACCTGACAATGCCACTCTCATGTACAAATAAAGCTGGGACAAAATACTGAAAGCAATTAGCTAAATCACCTCGTACACAACTGACAACAAAATATGGTGGGTTTCAGATTTGCAGAGCCAGGTAGGGAGGACTGTTATCACAGCAGATGTGTGCACACACTCATTTCTGACATTAACCACGCTGACTCACTAACATGACAGCTGATTGGTTGATTTCTTCTCCTGACTCGCTCACATGACAGAGACCTTCTTCACTGTTCTTCTTTAGTTAGCTGTGAAAAGCAGGTCAGTGGACCATCTCTCTCCCTCAGTCTCAGTCTCTCACCACATTAACTTATGATTCCCTGGTTTCGTGTCCTCACTTCCTCACTCTCTGCTGTCATGTTTTATCTCCCTCTCCATCTAGATAGTTTTCACGCTCTGTTTTTTTCCCTATCTGATTTTTCTTTTCCTGTTTCCCATTTACATTCCCTTTTATTGCTTTGCTGTTCTTTCATTCCTTTTCCTCTCAGTTTCAGAATTTGGGTTTTGTTCTTGTGTCTGCTCTTTCCCTTTGATTCTTTTTCATGTTATTAACTTTCATCCTCCTTTCTTTTTACTTCATTCCATTTCTCTCGTTCACTCTGTTCTCTATCACAGATGTGTAGCAGTGGCCAGCGGTGTGCCACTCACAGAAACATTACTAAATCCATCCATTTTACTTTACCTGCTCACACGGTTATGATTCATCCTTGTACAGTTTAGTGCGTACGTAGTGGAGACGCAGGCACACACTGCTCACCTTGCTTTTCATATTGTGCACATAGTAAACATACAGACACACAAAAATACACATGCACACACACCCGCACAGCTTGTTGTTGCTGCACTTGGAGCTCTGCAGAAGCTGACCCACATTCTTTACTGTAGTAAGTCATGACAGCACTACTATTACTACAGCCGCTCATACTCATTTGGCTCATTATGCTAACACATCACCCACACAAACACGCTCATACTTAGAGGCAGGGATTTTTGCCAGCACACGTTCATTTAACAGTTCTGTAAGCACATTGTCGTGCTTTGCCGTAAAACAGAGTGACCTAGACTTTCCTTTTTTTATGGGGTGTGATACTTGATTTCATTGGAAACACAGACAGAGCTGCGCCTTAAATATGATTCAGAAGTGTGATGCAATTCATGCTGTCAGGCTGAAATGAATAATTCATCTGCATGTGACTAAAACGGGGGTAGATAAAAACACTGGTTTGAATGAAACATTTATACTGGTCTGTAGTATTTGTGAGTTGTATTTTAGTGCAGTCCCACACTATCCAAATGCTCTGCTTAGATTTTGAATTTTCTTAATCCACAGATGCCACATCCTGGAGTTTGCTCCAAGGTGTGCTAATAGCTATACCCTGACCTTTGGTCTCCTTAGCACTACCTTCGGAGTGAGGCAAAAAACAAGAGTACAGTTCACTGTCATATTATCTTACTCGGTCATGCAGTTCTCTATTTTGCACGGCCTCTTTTATCTGATGTAAGAAAATATTGCAGAAGCTCATTTTAAGAGGACACTGATTGTTATGCAATTATGAGGGTGATAAAGAAGAAGATGTAGTCATACATGGCAGCAAGAGGTGATTGATGACTACATTACAATGTTGGAAAGCTTAATGGAGTGATTTTCTGATGACAGTGATGATTACCTTGCATTTATGACAAAAATCCTGTGTGTGCATATAATGCTGTCAGCTCTTTACAGCCACTTAGAGCCTGATGTTCAGTCAGAAGTCTTTACACCTTCTCCACAGGTTAACACTGGAGGAGTACTTACTATGTGTAAAAATAACAGACGCACTTATATACTCTCTCATTTTCACTGCCCCAAGGATGAGATGGAGGAATTGAGATCTGAGATGCTGGAGATGAGGGACATGTACATGGAGGAAGACGTTTACCAGTTGCAGGAACTGCGGCAACAGCTGGAGCAGGTATGTGGTTACAAAGACAGACTGGTTTAATGAGCCTGACTGATCGCAGATCTTGCAAAAATGACCTCGTGAAGAAAGAATTCCACTTATTTTACATCTGAAAAGCAAATTTGGGCTCCAAAAATAAATGCAACAAATGCTCTTTCCTGCCATTTTATGTTTTCTGCATTTCTTCTACATGCACATGACTGCTGCAAGGAACAGTGCAGTGAAGCAAAGTACTAGAGATGGATTAGACAGCTGACGCATAACATGATCTGCTGACATTGCCCCTGTTCCTCAGGCAAACAAGACCTGCCGCATCCTGCAGTACCGGCTGAGGAAGGCAGAACGACGCTCTATCCGCGTGGCCCAAACAGGACAAGTGGATGGAGAACTGATACGAACACTAGAGCAGGATGTAAAAGTAAGTGTTGGAGATTGAGCTGGAAATTAAAAGATGTGTGGACTCAAATGAAGTTGGTCTCAAAAAGAGTCAAGTGGAACATCGTTAGATGTCTTGTCTTTAATCCCAGCATCTCTAAGGTACTCAATAATAAAAACACAGCTGTCAGGTTTAATTAGCTAACGAGTTAATTAAACTTCTTCTACCATCTTTGATCTTTAGAAGTAAAATATACAGAGGTTCAGGCATTACACGCTCAACCTCTGGGCAACCACTTTCAGTCAATCTTGGAGAATCCAGCTTGCTGCGATTTGCCGTAGACTTGGCATCTTCAAAGCAATTGTTTCAAAGGCGACAAGATCATAAGTTCACTGCACACGGTTGCATAATTTTTGCTATGCAACGGTCTTCAATCACTATTTTTGTGACATAAGAGAAGATATGTTTGGATACAGTAATGCTTTCTGATGATGTGTCTGTATATGGAGATTCCTTTGACCCAGTTTTTGTCACACTCTGAAAGCCACAAAACTGCATCGAGTTCAAGCTTTTGTTTCTGAAGAATTTCCTTCCTTTTCCTATAAAATGAGCTATCTGTAAAAACCCACTTATACAGGCAATTAATTTGATTAGTCAGGAAACCCCCACCAATGATAAAATTGATACATTTTAGACACTATAAATGTGTCTATGTGCACAGTCTGTTTTGGTAGGGCCTTGCAGTAGCTGTACAGGAACACGGTGAGTTTAGGGCAAAGCCTTTGTGTGTGTGTTTTGTCACACTGACCCTGGACTACCGTTACTCTGTGCGAAATTTATAGCATTCCTCCAACATTTTCCACGTGAAGGACGACACAATGAGGGCTTTTTATCCTCTAAGAGAGAGAGAGCGTGCAAGAGAGTGAGACCGTGGAATCACTCTCGAAGGGCTTCCCGCCCGCTGCTGCTGTCTGTCTCTTAGCTGCTGTATCACCATCTGGTTGTTTTGGAAGGAAGGAGGGAAGTGAGGACGGAAAGAGGGAGGGATGAGTGTACATCCTGTGACTAAAAGGGAAGGGGGTGGTTGGTCAGTGTTTGAAAATTCAAATTGGCCAATGAGAAAACAACTCAAAGGCAGAAGGGAGTCCCTGTTTGAATTCAGTGGCCAGTTGTCATGTTTAGAAAATGAGAGGGGAGTGATGGCAGGGATGATGCATGGAAAGACTAAAGCTTGAGGGGGAAAATGAGCTAAGTCTGCATCTGTTGATTGCATCAGCAAAGGGGTATCGTTAACACAGAAAGCTGAAAAAAATCACACTGCTGGGAGACAAGTCTGCCCTCTCTGTGTCTCTCTCTCACAACACATGGCTGATTGTGCCTTGTTGCCGACAGGGCCAAGGACTCAGATGCCAGGTCAAGTTACAACATACTGTTCTGCATGTGTGTTCGTGTGTGTGTGTGTGTGTGTGTTTGCATGCATTAAGCCGTGGCTAAGCTTCTCTTTCTCTAGTGTGTATCAGCCACTCCTCTGTTTATTCTGGTAGCTTCATTATTCGTATTTTAAAAACACACACTCTACCTACCCCTATGACTCCACTGTGATTAGGCTGTACTGGAAAACTTTAATCTTCACTTTGCTTTAATAGGAGTTTAAAAAAATTTACGTTGTTTAAAGGTTTTCAGTGTTGCAGATTTAAAAGCTCTGAATTTCTGACTCAGAGCATAAAAGTTTAATTATAAAAACAAGCGAAATTGTTTGGAGACTCTTCAACTTTGCCATTAACTAAGTCATAGAAACCAAAATCATCCAACTGTCTGTAATGTGCCATTTGTTGTACAACTAAATATTAGCACTGGTGTATTTTTGTGCACATTTTAGTAACCCTAAAGTTGACATCAGATGTGTGAAAATAATCAAAGGACATTTTTCAATTGGAAAATGTTCATAGGTTTGAGTGGAGTATTGCCTCAAAAATGAATGCACAGTTAATTAAGCAGTAAGATGCACAAACATCCCCCAGTTCATCCCCACAGTAAAAGTAAAAGTACGGCACAATGTACCGTTTTAAAATGAAGCAGTTTTCTGTATTAATTTTTTAAGGATTTTTTCCCATATTTTTAACCACACTGAATTTACAAATACTCTGTTTAAAAATCAATAATTTACTGACATAAAATTACTTGGATATTTTCCTTTTTTAAATGAAGTCTCTTTTAGTACCCTTATAATGGTTCATCATAAGGGGATGCATCATAAATTTTTACACAAAATCTACCAGTGTAGCAATGGTATGCTGGCGTCAGTGTTCTTATCCTTTAATAGGCATGAAGTCCAGAAGGCCAGATTCAAAAAAGCCCAGTGTTTTCATTTGTACACAGAAGTGCATTAAGTAGTAGCTCTATACTGCCCCTTTCATAGTGCAAACTATCAGTTTAGATTGAGTGGCTGTTGCTCCATAAGATCAGCTAGTGATCCAAGTAAAGGGTGGTAAGTCCCTGAGGCTTTGCAAGATGGTCATAAAATTACTAATAAACATTCACTGATTCACCTTTTTTAATTACTCAGCTAAAATCAAACAATACAAGAAAAAAGCTCCACTTTGGTTTTCACTCCTTATATGTAAGTTTCGTTTTGACAGCGGGTTGAAAATACATGTTTCTTTGCATTTACAGTAGGCCTCACAAAAGCTTGGTGCAATGCCAAACAGCTATCAAGTATGACAGTCATACTGATTATCTTAAACAAGAGTAAACATGAGTGAAAATCTCAGTGCTTCTTCTTCTTCTTGCTCCAGAGAAATGTGCAAACTTATTGTACAAAACGTTTTATTGAGCTACGGTTCTTGTGGTTGACGCGCCCCAGTGTTTTTGCACTTCATGGTCCAACTTGACCTTGATTTGCCGAGCAGCTCTGCCCTGAGCTGCTTTGCAAAAGTAATTGGCTTAACTACTGTTGATGCATTAGATTCGATGACTCACTCGCATGCAAGTGGAAACAAATCAGCAAAAGTACTCCTCCTTTCCTTACTCTGCCTCTTTCAGTCTATTCTCAAGGCCTTTAGTTGTCCTTTAGGGAGAGCACGTGGGCTGAAAGTCAGATGGAAAAAAGTCAGAATGACAAGTGAAAGAAATGGTGAACTAGAAAGAGTGTGTCTTCACTCTAATGTGTTTGTCATGTGAATACTTTCTGACACAAACATCTCCTTATGTACATCATGTGCTCTTATTTGTGCCCATTTAGAAATCTTGCGGGTGTCTGCTTTCATGTGACTGCATGTGTGTTTGTAAAGCCATCAGACTCTCTATGAGAATTCCTGACATCATTTCCTGTCCTACTCACTCACTACTCTCATTCCCACAGGCAACAGGCATCTGGACACACAGAGGAAATAGTTGTTAGGATTCTCATGATGTTAGCTCATTGGTACTTCACATTTCCAGAAAAAAGTCAGTTATTCACTCACTTGTCTTAAGGGTGTGACTGTATCTGACTGTATCTCAAGTAGATTGTTTTAAGATGATTTCCACCTGAGAACAAGTAATATTTTAAAAGGATACAGTATAGTTTTAAAAGGTAAAACTTTTAAGGTGAACTTACCTTTTTCAGAAGATGAGTAGATTCCCTTTGTGAGAGAGATTTACAAGGTGTTTAGCATAGCTTAGCATTAGGCCTGGGCCTTGAACACTTCTTTTAAGTTGCCCAAATAAGGAGACACCCCTGCCCTCTGCAGCAGTGAGTGTAAATCAGGACAGCTTTACGGAGCTTTGTACAATATTTATGCTACATATGGTACCTGTGTGCAGTCTGTGCTCCCGGTAATGTCAACACGATATATAAGGTAGACCATAATAATTTGACAAATATTTATGAATTCTTTTTCTCGTTTTTCTCTGTTTTGTCATTTAGTTCAGTTCATTTTTTCCATTATAATACTTCCTATCTTTGTACCACACAGTTGATGTGTGTGTGCGTGCGTGTTAGGGGGAGGGTGCTTCCTGTAGATGTTCTTATAAATGCATTGTCACTTGGTCAAGAGTCATCCTGCCTCTCACTCATTCACGCATGAACATCAGACAGACTTCCAGCTGAGAGGAACCATGTTTTTAAAAAATATACTCAACTAACCACAAGCTATAACCTCAATGCATCTTGAAAAGTTACGGACTAGACAAGATGTCGTCACTCTGAAAGCCTTACACTAGTTCTCACAAAAAGACAGCCATCCAAACGCACACATGCTCACTATCATCAAAAGCAGCAGTGTACATTTATCTTATATCTTATTTGCATTGTGTGTGTGCTTGTGTGTGTGTGCTTGTGATAAAAATTTCTAAAGTGGGATTTGTTTTTACTGTTTAATAACACTGTGTGAGTTCCAGTAAAAATGTTCCTCTTGTGTTGCTCTCACATACACACGCACACAAACACACACATACTGTAGGAAGTTGCTGTTTCCATGCGTGTGTCACGCTTTACATTTCAGGAAGTGAACAGTAAAATGCTTATGTAGAATTATTTTTGGATGTTACAGAGTCCAGCAGAAGTGCTTATAGCAACAGGACGTGCCCTATGAAGAACTACAGCAGCTTCAGTCCCACCCCTACTGAGCAGATACCTGTTTGTATGCATGCATTAATGAAAACATGGTTAAAAATGATTGCTGGTGATACTGGAGGCGAGATCACACATTCCCAGCATGCCAGCGACTGTGAGAATTCCTCACTTTTCACCACCTCTCTCCCTCCTTGTGGCTCTCTCTCTCACACCCTCTTTTCTAAGATAGATGGATTACAGCTTGCACAGCTGTCACAACACTGTCTGTTTCTCTTCTTCTTTCACACATAATGGTTTATATATAGACACGAAGCAGACCACTTGTGACGTAACACCCTCTAAGTGGGTACTGAAGGGCCAGAATGTTGGACGACTGTGGAAAAGGTCAGCATCGTGAACAGTAAACATCAAGACCAGGGCTACCTCTGTGTCACCCACCGTCTCCATCAAAATCAGGCAGTTCACTTGAGCAGACTTAAATAAAATG